TGGAAAGGCAGGGGCTTAACTGTTGAAAATAAGCTAATTGTGTGCCAAGGGACACAGGCTCTCAGTTGCATAGGACTTTGCCTATAGGGAGGGGATTTCAAACATGATTATGACCAGAGTTCAGCCAGTAATAAGCACTTTTGCAATTCCCACCCTTCAGGTGAGAATGGGAACACAGCTAGGTCCACGCTAAGCATGTTTGGAAATCCCACAAGCTGTCTTGAAAACAAAGCTCCTCGGCACCTGCACACCAGATGGAGTTCTGGCAACTCACAGATGTGCTTCCGTTTCATTTTACTTGTAATATTTATCCCCGGAACTACATTTTAATCGCCTTAAACCACACACTGGATGAAATATAAATGCAATGAAGTTGTAATAGGGAAAATTCTCAACCAACCTACTGCCTTAAAGGTTGCAGAGTAGGAAAAAAAGTAGGAAAAAAGCATTTTTCTTATATTATTAAAGAAAAGAGTCTAAGAAACTATGGAGTGAGAATAAACTGTCATAACTAAGGCACTCATTTAGGACTCATTGGTCTACCACAGATTTCCTGAATACCATAAGGCAAGTCACTGCCTCTGTGTGCCTCAGGTCTTGATATACAAAATGGAGATAGCAGCAGTCCCCTCTTTTACAGAGGTGTTATGAGGATAAACACGTGAAAAACCACAGGATGCTTACGTATCTGGCTGCATACATTTCTGAGCAAGAAAGGGATTGCCTTACCTTTTCAACTGTAACATTTCCAGTGGTAGTGTTTCTGGATACTATCTTATAGTCTGTTGCATACTGTGGGTAAGAAAAACAACACAAAGTTTGCCATCTGTAAAATAACCCACATGACCAAATCTGTACGAGAATCTCATTTCACTATTGTAGGGTTATCATCTGTATGATTTTGCAACACTGGCTGGATCTAGGGTAGGTTATTTATCAGGTTTTTAAACAGGATTACCATAAACATAAAAGGTGGGAGGGGCTATAGAGAAGGGGGGCAACACATATGTGAATCAGAAGCAACTGTATTCGCATAAAAATGGAGTTAATCCCAATTTATATCAGTGTAGTGGGGATGAGAATTGGGCCCATTTAAGGGACACTGCCAACCTGAATTCAACCTCATGTTTAAATGTTGTTTACAAAAGTAAAAAAAAAAGAAAAAAAAACCAACCAAACCACAGACCAATGCAACTGTTTCCACTATGCAGACAGCTCTGCAGGCTAGCTGAAAGGCCAGATGCAAGATACAAAATGTATGGTAAACACTTCTTGTACACGTGCAGTGTGCAGTGGTGTACAGAGTGTCTGGGAGCACAGGCCTCCACTCCACCCCTTTCAAGCTGACACCGTGCCTATAGGTGGACCCCAGAGCTGCCATCTCATTTTCACAATAGGTTTCCTATAAAACACCTATTGCTTAAAACAAAATTATTTTAAATGAAGAACCAGGACTTAAATTTTCTAAGCCAATCTGTACTTGGGGACAGAGATGGAGCTTTGTTGGCATTTCAGCCAGGTGTTATGACTGCAAATTGATTAGAATTATTTCAGAAATGTGCAGCAACGGCTTGGCTAGTTAAGATAAATGACACTGTCAGCAGAGATGCTCTAAGGCAGGGGTGGGCAAAATGCGGCCCACCAGGCCATTGTATCCAGCCCACAGGGCCCCTAAAAAATTTGGAAAATTAATATTTATCTGCCCCCGGCTGCTTGTCATGTGGCCCCCGATGGCTTCCCAAAACTCAGTAAGCAGCACTCCACCCAAAATAACTGGCCGTCCTTGCTCTAAGGGGCTGCAGTGCATCCTAGCACCAGCTCTGTGTACCTATGTTCTATTTTAAGGGCTCACACCCTAAGAGATGCCACACAAAACCCAGAAATTTCAGCCTTTGAGATGATCTGTAAGCTGCCAAGAGACGTCAAAACTGAATTAAAACACATAAGGCCACAAATAAATTTTGACGCCTAAATTAAACTCACTGTAGATGCAAGGCTATTAATTTTTATTTTGTATAGAATGGAAAAATAATTTAAATTATTGTGAGTTGTCAAGGACAGCACAAAGAGAAGTAAGATTTCCCCACTGAAGCCTTGAGCATAGAGTACTTAGGCATTTGAGTTAGGAGCTTCCCAAGTTACATTACTGCTGTCATGTCCATTTTCATTTCGTCCATCATACCAACTTGCCCTGTTTGATATTTTTATATGCTTCTTGCTTTTAAAGCACAAAAGGTTCAGTGGAATTAACAATGGTTATATTTCAGCTCAGATAACTAAAATAATTGTCCTGTCTTAGGGCAACTCCTTTAGCAATGTCCATCCTTTACATGCATCCAAAATTACATCTACCAATAGCTTCTCCAAAATATACAGCTCATATCCATCTAATTTAATTCAGCCTATACCATCTGGCGCTAATGTACTATCATATTTAGCTTGCAGCACAGCATATCAGAAGTCTGACTGACCTGTGTCTGAGGCAAGTCATATAATGAAAGGCATGACATTAAAGCCAGCAACAAGTAAAACTCTTCTCTTACACACAGCCCTTAGGTCTTTAGCTTTGTCCATTCCAAGATTAGTTCCACACTGTTAACTACAGGCCACACAAACAGCTGTTCATTACACATATTTTAGCCACAATGTAGACCCTATATCCCCACAAGCTGGGATTTTCAAGAACACCTAAAGGCAAGACGACACTGAGTTTCCATGGATTCAGTAGTACAAACTAAATGCTTAGGTTATCTTCCACACTTTTAAAAATTCCAGTCACTGCAATTGTCGTTTTTACATTTATCGTATGTGCTTATTTACAGTGATGCATCTCAAGGTTCATTATGAGAAACAAGGTGGCATTTGGCACTTCTGCTGAGTACATCTCATTTCTGAAAGTCACCTGAGTCTTACCCAGTGGTGGCCTTAGGGTTGTTTGGGGCCCTGGGCAAGAGAGTCATTTGGGGTCCCTTAGAGGTATGTACTCAGTTATATTAACCCACCACAGTTGTATTGTGGATCTTTTTAATATTTTTGGGGGGAAATTAAATAAATAGTCAAGTGTTAAAATGCCAATAGAGCCACCTCCTTAAAAAACTTCACTCCCTCAAAAATTTGGGCCCCCTAAAGTGTGGGGCCTGGGGCGGCCATCCGGTTTGCCCTCCCCTAAGGCTGCTACCGTCTTACCGATCGAAAAGCTGCAGCAACAAGGTTTGATGGAAACAGGTTTCTGTAAAAGAACAAACAAACAAACAAAACATATAAGTTATAAAATGAGGGTAACCTGGAGAAAACAATAGCAAAGGTAAATATTTTGGCATTAAAGTGTAGTATGTTACAGTAGCTCCCACCACGTTTATGCCTACATAGAGTTACTTTCTTCATTGTAGAATAACATACAGCTGAATTTAAGTTAAATTAATACAAAACCTTTGAGGCAATTAGTTTTGTTATAGCAAGAACATCACAGAAATGTTTAATTGGCAAAAAATCCACCTCAGAGGTGTGCTGTTCTAGGAATCTGCTTCCCTAAAATCCAAGCATAAAACATGACAAATGCTAAAGACAGTTCCTGTCTGCAGCAATCAAACAGTTAAAAATCCTGGGTGTAAACAGATGCAACTCTTGTGACAACCTATACTCCAGATTCAACCATGCCTCGCTTTACTACTGGGCACACCTACATGAGACGCTTACTGCGCAGTAGCCTAATAACACTGCAGAGTAGCGTGCTGATAAAAAACTGTGGTAATAACCTACTGCACAGTGTTATTAGGCTATTGTGCAGTAAATAAAGTTACTGTGCATTCAGCCAGTACTTCATTAAGGAAGTACTAAACAAAATGCACAGTACCTATGGTGCAATAATGAAAGTGTAAATGCACTCACTGTAGTGTAAACTGCATGTCAGGTTTGGAAAGAGAGTAAAATACGTTTTAATTTTGGCACTCAAGAGTGTAGGTGCATGTATGTGAAACAAAGCAAGATAATAGGAAAAGCAGCTGGCTAAGCATGTAAGAATAAGCTACTCCCCGTTACATTTTATACTTGCCCAAACTGTTTTTACAGTTGCACTTCATTTCTGTTCTCTCAGCAGATAAATAACAACCTACAGAAGGTCAAGTCTATGCAAGCTATCCAGTTTGAACCTGCGTTCTGATTAGTTGCTTGACATCTTTCTTTCTGGCATGTTATATGGAAATCAGAATAGCCATTTGCATCAAATCTGTGGTCCATCTAGACCACTGTCCTGTCTCTGACAGTGGCCAGCACCAGATGCTCAGCCTAGAGAAGGGTTTAAGTAACCTCCTAATTCCTAATGGTTAGAAACTGTCTTAAGCCCTGGAGTATTATGTTTAGCATCTCTTTCAATATGCACATCAGCAATTGCTACATGCAACATATTCTTGTTATCTAGCTCCTCTTTGCTAGAGATGAAAGCCTTAGCATTAACAACATATTGTGGCAGTGAGTTCCAAAGCTGTGTTGCAAAGTATTTTCTTCTATTGTTTGGCATTCACAAGCTTTTAATTTCACTAAGTGTTCCCCTGGATCCTCTGCATGCTGAATGAAACCTCATAGTCTCCCTCCTCTAGACTGTACACTATTTTATGTACTTTTATCGTGTCTCCTTTTACTCATTTCCTTTCCAAAACAAACAAGTCCAACCTTTTCATTGTCTCTTTGTGTAGGCAACTTTCTATTTTCATTGGTCTTTTCTGTGCCCTATCTAATTCTGTAATCTTTTTATTGGAGTGACCATACAAAATATTTCAGAAAATACTAGACAGCCGGTTTATCCAGTAAAATCCTAATGCTTTCTGTATTATTCTCTATCCTGGTCTCCACGTCTCCTAATATCTTGCCAACTTTTTTGACCTAAGGTTAATAACTTTTGATGGTTGTTAGTTTCCATACTCAGTTGTATCAGTTAACCATCTGTGTACAACGAGGGTTTTTGTTAGACCTAAGCCTAAAGCCAGAGTGAAAGCTAGCGCTTGTGTTGTACAGGTGGTCAAATCCAGAAGATCACAATGGCTTTAAAATAATTTGTGACTTTCTCTTCACCAAGAACACTTGTAAATTGTTTACCAGATAAAACTTCAATGATCGTGTATTTTAAAACAGTGACGCAGGATGTTTCTAGGTCTCCTCTTCCTTAACAACCTCTCTACACTCTGCCAGTGTAAGAGGTTCAGCTGTAGGCTAAGGCCTGATACAGATATTATATTTTTACTTGTGTAAGTGATGGGAAACCAGTGTACCCCTGTAACAGAACAGAAGTTCAGCGCACAGACTAGTTTAAAAATGGTGGAACCCAGCCAGAGGCACGGGGGGAAGGAGGGGCTGCCATCATGAAAATCTCCCCCCCTTTCTCCCTCCTCCCCCATCTGTGCTTTAGGACACCACGACTTCACACCTGTTTGCAGCTCCTTTTGTTCCCCCCACTTGCTGGCTATTTTACTGGGTTTTTTGCAGGGATCAGGCTTTTTCATGGGAGACCTACCAAATTCACAGTGTCTGTGAAAAATGGAGAATTTGGTAGGTCCCCATCTATGATGCCAGTCACACTCAATAGGTGCTATTATAGCACCCAGCCATTAGGTGGGGGGGGAGCAGTTTGCATTGAGCAAACAGCAAGATGGGATTAAACCAACTGGGAGAACAAGTAAATGGTTGTCTCAAGTGTAACTTGTTCTACTTTCACTACAGAGTAAAGTCATCTTATGCCATGGTAAATGTGTTATGTGTCTGCACCCTTATTGTTAGCCTGATCTTTCACCTCTTTGCAAATGATCATTTTGAAGAAAAGTTTTAGAAATAAGTTTGTACTCTGGTTCAATGTTATGAAGAACTGCTCACAACTGGCTTGATCCTATGGGGAAGTTTCTGAGACAGCTACCACATAGCACACTTAGCCCTCCCAAGTTACTCCCATGGCATCAGGAGCTCAGATGGAGAATGGCAGAGCTCATCTCTTAGGACAGGACCAGGAGTCAGAGGTTGTGGGCAGTGTGATACAAATATTGCCAAAGGGTCTATTTCAAGCCAGGTCATTTAAAAACTTTGCTAATTCAATATATCAGTAATTGGCATGATATTTTACAATGTAGTTATGCTAACAAAACTCCTTGTTGTAGATGCAAGTGTCGTGGCAAAAAGTGCTGTATAGCCTATTGCTCTTAATGAACAGCTATAAGCTCTGCATGCTTATAATATATCTATAATATAACTACATCTTATACATCTATAACTACATCTACACAAGAAGGGCTTGTCACTTCAGCTCAACCTGTCTGGCTGTACAGGGAAACTTAAGTACAGAGAAGCCAATTAAAGGCAGCTTATCCTATCTGCTCTGCAGATTGGTTTTATTTACAGAGTTCCCTTATCCAACTGCAGCACATGGACTTTCTCACAGCCTTGGCAATACTGTAAAGTACATAAACTTTCACAAAACAGCCGGGCTGTGTTAACTCTTTCAACTCTCTATTGCTTTAGTAAGCAGTATTGGAAGTACAATGGGCATAGCAGGGCTTATCAAATGTCAGGAATAGGGATGTTTTGTTCCTTAAAACTCAGACTGCACAACATAACTTTAACATGAGAAGAATGCGTGAAGAACTCCTGCACAAAATGTAGCATAACACCTGTCGTACAGCGCATTGTCATTACCGAACAAACATGAAATTGTATACTTTTACAATGGCAGTATGCAGCCATTGCTATAACTTCTTTGTTATACTCTGGACCTGACTTTGCTTCTAGTGGCTCTAGACTTCAGTAGTTTCTTCTGATTTACACTGGTGTAAATATGATCAGGATCAGAATCTTTACTCTTAGGGTTAAACCTAAAAGTTTAGAACAGCGTGGTGTTTTACACATGCTGTGGTGAGGGAGGGCTTTATCAGAGCGGCTCCGAGCCCCTGTAATTTAAGCACCACAGCATCTTGTACATCAGCATCCTTGCACTTCAAAATGGCAGCAGAGGCACTTTAACTAAAGCTCGTTGAACAAACTGCTGTTTTGAAGTATAGGGACACTGATACATGAGATACTGAGGCTGCTGGAGATGCATTAAGTACAATGCTCCAGCAGACTCTATTAATCGAGTTTTCTCCAACATACTATAATTACAGCACATTGGAGCAGCCTCCCTGCACATCTATAGATACCTGTGGTGCCCAATCTTTTCACTCCACAAACCAAAGAAGTGGTGCCAAGTTGGTCTGCAGGGGCCTGATCCCACCACATGGCAATGGCCCAGCCAGGGCCCAATCTAGCCATTTGGGTCTGACTTGGGATCCAGCCACATGGGACAAGCCCTTAGAAACCTGTTAAAAAGGGTCAATGCAAACTCAAGAGAACACCAGCAAGGGAACTGACAATTTCCACCTCATTTCTCTGGCCAGTGAACAATGTTGGGGGGACCTTGGAGAATAGGGTTATGTTGGTGGGTTATTTGAACCTGGAATTCTAAAAATTTGGTTTGCTTAGAAAACAACAACAAATAACAAACCCCTTACAGTCCATGTTAAGCTTTGCCTGGGCAGATATGTGTGCATTATCATCACATATCCCACCCTCAAGCCCTGGTGTCTACTGATTATAAATATTCTCCTAGTTCTGCTAATGTGTGCCACAGTATGATACATGGGGGAGGAACTGTCTGCTGTGTACTGGATGCAGAAAGAGTTACCAAATGGATAGTGCATGCCTGAGTTAGCTGCTGAGCTGCTCCTGCAGGACCACAGGACCTGGGATAACACACATCCTCCCTTTCCCAGCAGAGAGGACTGCATTACTCAAATGAAAGCCACTTCAACTTTTAGTGGTAGTATATGCACTCCATGGTCTGACAACAAGAATTCCTTCATCCCGCATGTACCCTTCCTAACCAGAACCCAGGCTAATTGGTGTGACTAGGCAGAGAACTGTTCACTTGTTGCAACCTACAGTACATTTTGAATAAAAGAAAAAGCTATCACATGGCTGCGCAAGGATACAACAGCTCCACCTGCACTCTCCATAATAGTAAGGAAGCTTCAGAAACACCTGCATAAGGCAATGATTGCCACTCAGTTAAACCCTTTCAAAAAAGAAACTTGGTAAGGAGACAAACATCTACTGAGGAACTTAAATGTGGGTCTTCTCCGTTCAACAACGACCCTTGTTTGGAAGCTTTGATATAGATTGCAGATGCACCGCCTTGTAAAAGCAACCACTGAC